TATATATATATATATATATATATATATATATATATATATATATATGTATGTATTTTTTTTTTCCTGGAGAAATGTCTTTTCAAGTTATTTGCCAATATTTAAGTTAATTGGTTTCCTTTTTCAGTATGGTTTTTTTAATTTAGTGGTTGGGAAGTAGTAAGCTGCATCCTGAGACCAGCAATAGCAAATTAAATACCATCTACTCTTTGCTAATTTCCTTAGCCTAATTTCTGTAAGGAAGACAAGATCTTGTATATTTAAGATGGCAAATTTCTTTCCTTAGAGTCTTAGCTTAGCCCTGAGTGTGAAATTGTCCTTATCAGGTCCTCTGTTATTCAGAAATTAAATCCACTTATGGAATTCCACAAAATTTAATGATAAAGACCAAAGAAACTATGAATAGTAAGTAACTAAAACAATACTTTTTGAAACAGTAATAAGATGATAACTTAAAATTTCATACCCCAGTTAAAGACTATAGAAAGTGCTGTTATCATCTTAGAACATCTCTGTTCCCCATCATGGTCAATTTTTGGGTTCCTCAGTTTGTCTACCTCTTCTTTGCTTTTCTCTTTCTTCTTTTTCATTAAGCTTTCTTGGTTCAAATTTTCTTCCTTTTCTTTTATGTCTACTTCATTTTCCTTCTCCCTACTCTTTCTTCCTTAAATGGCTACAGTGTGAAACTGTTAATACTTATTATTATGTTAAATAATGTTTTATTTTCTATCCATAAAGTCCAAAGTACTTAATTGAATTTTTGTAAGAAAAATTCTTCTTCAAACTTGCAGTCTTCTGCGGTCACTCCCTACAAGATACAAGCAGCTAGAAAAATAGAAATTATTTTCATTTTCTAACCTCTTTAGGCCACTGAGAGAGCCTCATCAAGACAGAATCTCATAAAAACAAATGGGGCATGTTGTCATATAGCATGGTAAAAACTTATCCAGTTTATTTTTTGGCACATGAAGAAAAATTATATTGAATTTTTTCTTCTTTGGCTTATAGTTTGTCCCATTTCTAGAAGAAATGCTTTGTGAACTCATTAACGCCTCTGTGTAACCAAAGGTAACCACAGGTGCTTTTGAGTTATATTCTGACTTTACCCTAAGAATCTATTTTGCTGTTTTCACATTATCTACATGGGTCATTCTATTGTTATTTCAGAGTATTGTGGAAACCCATCACTTGGATTTTGTTTTCTAACTGTAGTTTTTTTAATCCTTTTAAAATAAATAATTCAGGGGCATTTAGTACTTGACACTGTTATACGACCACTACCTCTACCTAGTTCTAAAACATTTTCATTACTCCAAACGTTTTTTAAAAATATTTTTTAGTTGTAATTAGACACAATACCTTTATTTTATTTATTTTTATGTAGTACTGAGGATTGAACCCAGAGCCTCACACATGCTAGGAGTGCTCTACCACTGAGCCACAACCCCAGCCCGATTACTCCAAACATTTTTAAATGCAGCTTTTGGGGGAATAAAAACAGTTTAGAATACTATTCTGTGTTGTTTCATTTGCTTATAGGCTGGTATAAAGTACTGAATTATAACTGTAATTATTTTTAGGTGATTTCAAATGTCCTATCAAAGAAGAAATAGCAATTACCAGTGGTGAATGGGAAGTTCTTGGCCGGCATGGATCTAATGTAGGTCCTTTTATTCTACTGATATGTTTGGTCAGCATCTACTGTGTGGAAAAAAAGTCAGTAATACAACTTAATATGACCCCAGTGTTTTGAAATGTCTTTATTTTTAATTGAAAATATTAAGTTAAGGCCTAAAGGAACTCAAGTTTTTGGAAAGGAAGACTCTTAGTTTAAACTATAGATCTCACCTAATTTATAACCCTAGTATTAGTTATGTTCTGGTTACTAAAGATCATCATTTTCAAATATATTGCTGCTTCTTGATAAGGAATTAACCCATATTTTAGGGTCTAGCAAAAGCTGTGAGCTAGGATATAGTTTTGAATCTATTAGAGACTACTCTTATCCTTCCTACATTAGAAATTGTATTTACTATTCCTGTAAGTAGTTCTCTTTTATTCACCCATTTATTTTATCTCACATTTATTTTTCATCCACCACCTGCAAAGAGGGATCAGCATTTATATAGAGCTTGGATTGATAGAAAAGAGGGGGGAAATTCATCCTCTGTTTTGTTTTCAATGTGTGGCTTTTTGTAGCAATTTAATGAATTCTATTTTTTTTTAAACTTTTACTTTTTATAGTACCTTTCATTTGTTTCAGATTTCAGGTAGGTGGCCAGTTTTATTAGCTCTATAAAAACTCCAGTCCTTTCAATATGCCTGACTCATAGAATTAAGTTGATGTATGCTTCCAGGATTTAGTGAAGGCTGAAATGTGATTTCCTCAAATTGATAGATTCCATATCCTTGCTACTATAGAATTCACTGTAGTCCCCAAGGTGATTAGGACAAAGAATGAAGATCCAGATTTCTATATTTGTTTTTGTTATATTTGTTTTTTTTTCTTTTTGTAAGAACTTTAGAATATTAGAGACAGCCCTTAATATCTAATTCCACTGAGCGTTTCACATAGCCTTCTGATTACATATCCATATATATATATATATATATATTTTTTTTTTTTTTTCCCTCCATTTAGGGACCTTGGATGTTCCTGTCACCTGAGGGAAAAATCTTTCGGGAATTCTAGGTTCTGATAACAGAAAATTACACTAATATAATTTTTATGCAGTGTGTTGGTTGGAGGATCAGAACCGTCAGCTAATACTGAGGGAAACCCCCCAAATTGAATATAAACAGATCTGATCCTTATTTGGGAAACTTAAACGTCTCTCTGTAATCGACCAAAATGTGCATCAATTTTTTTCATGTCAAGCTTATTTTTGTGTGTTGTGACTCTCTCTTTGCCTCTTCTATTTTCCTTATATACTCTGTTTTGTTTTGTCTTTAATTACCCTTTTCCTTCTCCGCTTTTATTTTATTTTTTTCTTCTCTGCTTTTACAAATGATATTGTTCCTACTCAAAGATTCCTGATGGCAATAATTCAGTAAAGCTTTGAGACTTAAAATTATGCACCTTTTACTCTATTTTTTTAAAATTGTAGGTAGACACAATATCTTTTTATTTGTATGTGGTGCTGAGGATCCAACCCAGGGCCTCTCACGGATTAGGTGACCGTCCGCTCTACTACTGAGCCACAACTCCAGCGCCCGCACCTTTTACTCTTGAAAGTATTTCCTCAACAGAGTATGATCCTGAGATGGCACTAAAATATCAACATCACTTTTGAACTTGTTAGAAATGCAGATTTTAGGACCCATCCCAGACCTCCTAAATAAGGAACTCTGGTAGCATGGCCCAGGAATTTGTTCATTAAGCCCTCCAGAAGAGTTGAATTCTGTTGAACCTAAGTAGTTACATAAAGAAAATTAAAAACCATTATAAATGGTATTGAGGAATTGACTGGTTGTTTCTTCAGTTTTGAAAGGCCTGACTTTTAAGAGCAGAACTAGTCCTAACTTCTTGAACATTTGTTTAGTATAGCAGCTGTGTTAACTTAAGGATTTAGCCATCCAAAAAATGTCTAATGAAGAAGTAGTTTCCTGGAAAAAATGAGACATTTAAAAATACTTGCTCTTAGAAATTTATCTGTGTTGTCTTTGCTACATAAACATTTTTTTTAATTTTATTTAACACTAAACTGGTAAAAAGATTTTTTAAATGAACAGCAAAAGAAAGCCATTTACTTAGACTATTACAGTAATGTGAGAAGAATACTAAGTGAATTCATCTATGAATTTACTTGCAGTTTTTTGAATTTTGAATGATGACTTAAAATATCTTATTCAGGGCTTGGGATGTGGCTATGTTGTAGAGCACTTGTCTAGCATATGTAAGGCCCTGGGTTCAATTGAGCACTGGGCGGTGGGGGGGGGGATGATCTTATCAGTGCTTACTTATAAACTATACCACTGTTGATAGCATGATTGAGTTCACTTATTCCCCAAACTAAAGATAAAGCGCTTTAAAAAAAAAAAAAGTTGCAGTTTATAGATTTTTTGAAAATATTTTTTTAGTAGTAGGTATATACAATGTCTTTATTTATTTTTATGTGGTGCTGAGGATTGAACCCAGCGCCTCACATGTTTGAGGCAAGCACTCTACCACTGAGCTACTGCCCCAGCCCCAGATAAAACACTTTTGTAAATTTAGTTTCTTTCAAGTTTACATGAATGGTTGACCTAAGCTGCAGTCTAGAGTATTTTTTCCTTCTGTAAAAAAAATAATTCTCTTATTTTAAGAAAAGCACATGTTGTAACCAGATAGGAAAATATACAGTGTATAATTCAGTTGTTCATTTTTTTCTGGACAGTATCTGTTGTTAGCTCTAAGTCATAAACAAAACCAATCCGCTTACTAGCATTGGTAGCAAAATAAAAAGAAGCACAAGTCAAGGTACCAAATAATTCTGAATAAAATTAAAGGTTGGTCGTTGAACTACTTACTGGCTTTGCTAGAGGTTATGCTAGTACTGATTTTGTTGTTATTATTATTATGGCAGATCCAGGTTGATGAAGTCAGAAGACTGGTATATTTTGAAGGCACCAAAGACTCTCCTTTAGAACATCACCTGTATGTGGTCAGTTATGTAAATCCTGGAGAGGTGACAAGGTTGACTGACCGTGGCTATTCCCATTCTTGCTGCATCAGCCAGGTATAAGTCTATGTTGTATTAAAACCCTCTGTTCATATAATGTTCCTTTTGAATGGTGTGAAAATTGGTAAAGTTGACCTGCAGAAGCCTCATTGTCTTAGGAAAAGCTTTAAAACACTTAGCCTTAACTTCAGTGTTACATATGTACCTAATCATACTCTTACTATACTCTTGCTATAACATTAGTGCAGAAATAACAGCAGATAACCTTTTTTTGATTTTTCCTTGAGGAAAAACATAATCATTTCTCTTTTCTCTAGCATTGTGACTTCTTTATAAGTAAGTATAGTAACCAGAAGAATCCACACTGTGTGTCCCTTTACAAACTTTCAAGTCCTGAAGATGACCATACTTGCAAAACAAAGGAATTCTGGGCCACCATTTTGGATTCAGCAGGTACTCTTTTTTCCCTAAATCTGACCGTAAGTAGGCTTAGTACTTTAGTGTAAAAATTTATGTTCTATATTCACCTTTGCTGAACAAAGTCTCCTCATCTCTCACCCCTTTCTGTCCCTGAGCTGCTAAGCTTTTGATTGTTCCTACCTTTCCTATTCTGTCAACTACACAATAAGGTGGATTAGCTTTCACTCCAAGCAGGAACAGATCTAGAAAGCCTGCTGAGGCAGGAAGATTTCAAGTTCAAGGCCAGTGTCAGCAACTTAGTGAGACCCTGTCTCAAAACAAAAATTTAAAAAGCCTGGGGGGTGTGTCTCCATGATTAAACACTGCTTGGTTCAACCCCCAGTTCCAAAAGAAAAAAAGAAAAAGAAACTTTTTATTTAAAAAAAAAAATTACTGGTATTACTGGAAATAATTTATTTTACTGAACTATCTTTGGTGCAGTATTAGGGCACAAGGAATACTTGTAAATATACATTAATACGATGATGACCATTATGCAGTGAAATATGGTATATGCTACTTGTTCCCCCCACCTCAACTTTATTGAAATAGGTGCTTGTTTCTAATCAGGTTTATGGTTTAACCATGAATAGGTTATACTAAACTTAGCGCAAAGTATTTTTTATAATTCTGCATGGAAACACTTCCTAGGCTTCAAAGATTATTCAGAATACTGTGTGTCTGCTTTTGAGATAGATAATTTAATATGTTTTCTTTTTTTTATTAGTTGCTCAAGACAATATTATTTTTTTCAAGATGAATATTTTTACTTAATTTTTTTATTATCTTACCTTAAAAGTGGGTGGTCAGTTATTTGAGTGTGGGGGTGCGGGGTCTGGGTTTTGATATTTTCTTCCTTGCTCTCAGATTACAGAGCTCCCATTAAGAACTCCTTTTACAGACTCTATGTTACCTACTCACAGGTCCTCTTCCTGACTATACCCCTCCAGAAATTTTCTCCTTTGAAAGTACTACTGGATTTACATTGTATGGAATGCTATATAAGCCTCATAATCTACAACCTGGGAAGAAATACCCAACTGTGCTGTTCATATATGGTGGTCCTCAGGTGGGCATATAAATATACACATACATATACACATATATACATATATATATATATATTTTTTAATGTGATTTGTTTTTAAAATATCTAGTGTTATTTAGAATAGGATAAGAATTTGAGGGCTGGGTTGTGGCTCAGTGGTGGAGTGCTTGCCTAGCACATGTGAGGCACTGGGTTCGATCCTCAGTGCCACATAAAATATAAACAAATATGGGCTAAGGTTGTGGCTCAGTGATAGAGTGCTTGCCTAGCATGTGTGAGGCACTGGGCTAGATTCTCAGCACCACATATAAATAAATAAAGTCCATTGACAACTAAAAAAAATTTTTTTTAAATAAACAAAATAAAGGTCCACTTATAACTAAAAATATTTTTTTAAAAAAGAATTTGAGCAGTCTTGGGCTTCTGCTATTCTTGACTTATTTCTAATTATCAATTCAGATTGCTAGGTATCCAAGTTTAATTGGCTAATTTGTAAAATAGTTTCTTACTTTACATTGAGGACTATGTAACTCTTAAGGGGAGTGGAATATTCACATCACTAGGTAAATTTCTTTTTTGGGGGCGGGGGGTTGCTAGGGATTGAACACAGGTCTTGTGCATGCGAGGCGAGCACTTTACCAACTGAGCTGTATCCCCAGCTCCAAATATCTTAATTTCTATGTAGAGAAACTTGTTTGGGAAATGAAATTAAACAGTTAAATGTATAGGTAAATAAAAAGTCATATATTTAGAAATTCTTGGTAGCTTATTGAATTCCCCTCTTTATTCTAAGGCTACATCTCTCAAGCAAACTAAAATACTTTACTAGCTGGTGAAGTTAATAACTATGCCATTGCTTAACACTGTAGGAAGTTTACAACTTGATTTTTCCATTTTCTGGATTAAATATTAGCATGTGGCTAATGCTGTTGACCAACAGAGTAAACTGTTTTGGATAGATGAATTGGTTGTTAATTTTTCTTTCATCATGTAACTCTTTAGATTAAGTAATATCCTTTATAATTATTCCCACTTATTTTGTATTTAGAAATGTATCTAAGTACCAAGCAGCATGAAAAATAAAACAACTACATGAGGGCTGGGGACGAGGCTCAGTGGTAGAACACTTGCCTAGAGTGTGTGAGGGACTGGGTTCGAGCCTCAGCACCACATAAAAATTAATTAATTAATTAATTAATTAAAGGGTATCACGTCAATCTACAACAAAAAAAAATATTTAAAAAATAAATATATGAGGCCGGGTGCGGTGGTGCACACCTATAATCCCAGCAACTCTGGAGGCTGAGGAGGACCATGAGTTCAAAGCCAGCCTCAGCAAGGTGAGGCACTAAGCAACTCAGTGAGATGCTGTCTCTAAATAAAAATACAAAATAGGGCTTGGGGATGTGGCTCAGTGGTCAAATGCCCCTGAGTTCAATCCCTGGTACCCAAAAAAAAGAAAAAAAATTACATGAGCCACAAAATCTCAACGATGATAATCGTGTATTAAGTTAAATCATTTTCCCATCATTAAGTATTCCAGATAGAGGAAACAATAAATATCAAGAACCTGGGGTTAGAAATAAATTGATAGGGTTGCTAATAAGATGCACCAAAGGAAATAAGGTACAGCTAATAAGATACAGTGCACCAAAGAAAAGTGGTGTGAGATGAATTTAGAGATAGCCATGACTCAAATAAGCCAAAGTCTCAAAGGTCATATAGTTTAGATCTTGGACTTGGAGAGTAGCATAGTGGTAGAGCAATTGTCTAACATGTGCAAGGTCCTGGTTTCAGTCCCCAGCACCAAAAGAAAAAAAGAAAAAGTTTAGATCTTTTTCTGAAGGATAATGGTAGCCATTATAAGGAACCAGGCAGTAGTCATATGTCATTGACATTTTTAAAACATCACTATTACTTCATGAGCAAAACAGACTATAAGAGAGCTAGAACAGAAGGAGAAAAACCAGTTTGGCAGTTGTTGTAGTGGCATTAAACATCCAAAACTACAAAAGAATGGAAGACTCTCTCTCTCTCCTTCCCACTACAATCTAACTCAGTAAATATACAACAGCTATTAACTGCATGAAGATAGTATTCTTATTTAACTCGTGGATAACTTTTCCCACCTTTGGTTTTTGCCAGAGGAAAAAACAACAAATCAGATTTTATTACAATTTCAAAACTTTTTTCTTTTTTTTTTTTAAAGAGAGAGGGAGGGAGAGAGAGAGAATTTTAATATTTATTTTTCTTACTTTTTGGCGGACACAACATCTTTGTTTGTATGTGGTGCTGAGGATCGAACCCGGGCCTCACGGATGCCAGGCGAGCGCGCTACCGCCTGAGTCATATCCCCAGCCCCTCAAAACTTTTTGTATCCAAAATTTCTATTAAGACCTAGAGCCTTATACATAGATATTTTTATCTGGTAAACCAGTTATATTCAAAATACATAAGAAACTTTTTAGAAATCAATAAAATAAGAACTGAACTTTTTAAAACCAGTCAAGGGCTGGGGTTGTGGCTCAGGGGTAGAGTGCTCGCCTAGTGCGGGTGAGGCACTGGGCTCGATCCTCAGCACCACATAAAAATAAATAAAAAAATAAAAGCATCATGTCCACCTACAACTAAAAAAAATATATTAAAAAAAAAGTCAAAGAAGCTGGGGGATGTGTCTTAGTTCAGTGGTAAAGCACTTGCCTGGCATGCATCAGGCCTTGAGTTTAATCCCCAGCACTGCAAAAAATAATAATAGCCAAAGACATTTCACAAATGTATGGCAGCAAGTAGATATAAGAGAAGATACTCAGCACCATCAATTATCAGGAAATCCAAAGTAACACCACAGTGATAAAAACCACTAAACATCTGCAGAATGTCTAAAATTAAAATAACTAACCATACCCAGTATTGACCAGGAGTAGAGAACCCTTATGCTTTGACAATGGGAAAGAAAAATGGCACAGCTACTTTAGAAAACTAGTTTTTAAATTTTTCTAAAAAATAAATTTAGCTGACACATAATAATTATACATATTTATCAGGTATAGTGGGATAATTCAATACATATGTTATACATACACATAATATTTTTTCTCTCTCTCTCTTTTTTTTAGTGAGACCGGGTCTCAGTATGTTGCCCCCGGCTAGCCCAGAACTCCTAGGCTTAAGCAGTCCTACCTCAGTTTGGGATTATAGGTGTGCAACACCACACCTGGCATCTTTCTAATTTTTATCTGAACTTCTTTTTGTTTATTACTTAGTGTCTGCCATCGCTAATTATAGTAATGTGTTTCTTTATGACCAGGAGACTTTCTGAGAAATGTCACTAAGTGATTTCATTGTTGTGCAAACATCATAGAGTTTGCTTACATAAACATAGATGGTATATGTCAGTCACTCAAAGTGGCTTCTTGTGTGTGTGTTCATGTGTGTGTGTGTGCCTGTGTGTTTTTAGGGATTGACCTTGCACATGCTAGGTAAACACTGAGCCACATCTGTAGCCCTCTGCCCCTTTTTTTCCTTAATTTTATCTTGAGACTGGATCTTGCTAAATTGCCCAGGCTAGCCTCAAACTTTCCATCTTCCTACCTCAGCCTCCTGATAGCTGGGATTTCATGTGTATACTACTGTGCCTGGCTCATGGTAGCATCTTGATGAAATCAAGAGATGCAGCACACACAAGATGTACTGTTTTATAGTAAACTTAAAACAAAAACAAAAATAAAAAACTTTTCATTGGTGCTTGGAATTAAAATCAGGACTTCATGCATGCCAAGCACTCTCTCTACCACTGAGCTATACCCCAACCCTAAATTTTATAAGTAGGAAAACACTCTAAAATAGTGATGAAAAGGGGCTGGGGTTGTGGCTCAGAGGTAAAGCACTCACCATGTGTGAGACATAGATTGAATTCTCAGCATCACATAAAAATAAAATAAAGGTATTATGTTCACCTACAACTAAAAAATGTTTTAAAAAATTATGAAAAGTATAGTATAGTTAAATACATATACCAATAACATAGTTATTTATTATAATTATCAATCATGATATAAGGTACCTAATTCTGCTATATTTAAGTAATGTTGGCAGTATAGGTTTATTTATGCCAGCATTACTACAGACACATGATTGAGGAATTGTGTTGTGCCAGCTATGATGTCACTAGGTGATTGGAATTTTTTAGCTCCATTATAATCTTCTGGGACCACCGTCAGATATGCAGACTGTCACTGATGAAAACGTCTTTATGCTAGGCATGGATGAATAATTTTTCTTTTCACTTGATGTTTTGTTAATAAAACACTAAGATATATTTAACTTCCTAGTCATTTTGAAGTGTAGTCTCTATGGTGATAAAGTGATTGCAGAATTATCCTACTCAGCTGGGCATGGTGGCACATATCTATAGTACCAGCTACTTGGGGGGTTGAGGCAGAGTATCACTTGAGCCCAGGAGTTTAAAACCAACCTGGGAAACTTAGTGAGACTTTGTCTGAAAATGTGGCTCAATATTAAAACACTTACCTAGCATGCACGAGGCCCTGGGTTCCATGGCCAGTGTGGGATTGGAGGGGGGCACAGAATTATCCTACTTTTTACACACAGGAGAAAGGAAACAGGACTTGTCACAGTGTCCCTTTAAAAATGCTACATTTTCCCATTGCTAGTCAATGATGACCCTAGAAGAGACAACTGGGAAGGGAAGATGATCTTATTTATCCTGTGACTGTTATTTGAATGACACAATTCTTCTTCAGAGTAGACAGTAACTTTTTCTGTGGGGTGGGTTAATCTTCTTATCTAATAAATAATTAAGATCTATTATTGTGCAGTAATTTTCCTGAAACTTGAATGTGAAATTAAGCAAGAAGCAACATAAACATGAAAAGACTAGTTAATTTTGAAATAAATCACTTAGCCAGGCATATTAGCACATGCCTGTAATCCCAGCAACTCAGGAGGCTGAGACAGGAGGATTCCAAGTTCAAGGCCAACCTCAGCAATTTAGAGAGACCCTAAGCAACTTTGGTGAGACCCTGTCCAAAATAAAAAGTACTGAGAAGACAGCTCAGTGGTACAGCACTCCTGGGTTAAATTCCCAGTACCAAATAAACAAATCACTTAAAAATTACATTTTAAAGACAAAAGAATAATAAATTCTTAAGCTTTCTGCTTTTTTGCAGTGCTCTGATTCTCTTATGGTTTGTGTGTTACCATATAATAAATTTCATTAAAGTTGTATTTCTTCTTCAGGTGCAGTTGGTAAATAATCGCTTTAAAGGAGTCAAGTATTTCCGCTTGAATACCCTCGCTTCTCTGGGTTATGTGGTTGTGGTGATCGACAACAGAGGATCCTGTCACCGAGGGCTTAAATTTGAAGGTGCCTTTAAATATAAAATGGTGTGTGAACACAAAAACTTTTCTTTAAAAAAAAATTTTTTTTTTTTTTGGTGCATTGTTTAATGTGAAATCTGCAATTAGGAAAGGGTGTGTGTGTGTGTGTGTGTGTGTGTGTGTGTGTGTGTTCAGGGGTGGGAGGGAAGATGCAATTTGTGTCCTAGGCTAGTTCATGTCTACCTGTGTATATCTGTGAAGAGCTGAGAGAGAGCCACTTTTATGTAGAAATATCCTCCCTTTCCATATGGTATATCCACCTTAGCCAGAGGGCAGCACCATTTTAGTTTTCAGCATCCTTTATGCTGTTGAGGAATATTTGAGATTTGTTCTGTCCTCTGTGAAGAGGGAAACCAACTGGTTAGTCCTTCCTTGTGACAAGCCTCTTTCTCTCTACAGGAAGCTTTAAATGCTACCTTTTAGAGATGCCCCATGTCCTTTCTGCTGCTTTGGGAAATGATGAGAATCCGATGTTCCTTTTGCACAGTAAGGCAGTTACTGTGTTTGCCAGTGTATTGGACATGCTGAGTAAGACATGGGGATTTTCTCCCACAGCCAGTTCTTTGACCTTATGTTATATTCTCATGTAAGTTTTGTTTTGTTTTGTTTTTAGTTTTTGGCTCAGTAAAGTAAGATTGTGTGCACTGGCAGGCCAAGTAATACAGATAGGGTGATAGTGGTAAGAACTAGGACTTAATAGAGCTTTAAAGAAACAAATAGTATGTTCAGTTCCTAGTGACATGATGGGAAAATAGGAAGGTTAGGACCTCAAGAGTGATTCCCTCTGCTTTATTGCACTAAGTATTAAAAGAAGAAGTAAAATTAATTCCTCTTATGGGGGCTAATCTTTTGTCTGTGGGTATAGGGAAGGCTTGTTACAAGGAAGATGCTGACCTCTTAGCAGACAACAGAACAAATGTAAATGGGAAATACCCAAAAGCAAGAGTCAGTTTTTGCAGCCATAGGAAAGAATTTTTTTTTACTAAGTGATAACTAAATTCTAGGACAGACTAATAACAGAACTGTAGACACCTATTTCCAAGTAGATTTTTGAAAAAAAAATGGGGATGGGAAATAGAATCTCAGTTATTAATGAATTCTAATCTGAAAAATAAATATTTTAGTAAAAAAGTTTATTAGCTTAAAAAGCACTCTTATAAATGAAATTTTTATGCATCAGAATCAGTGAAATACTCTCTTTTTTTTTGACAGGGTCAAATAGAAATTGATGATCAAGTGGAAGGACTCCAGTATCTAGCCTCTCAATATGATTTCATTGACTTAGACCGTGTGGGCATCCATGGGTGGTCTTATGGAGGATACCTCTCCCTGATGGCATTAATGCAGAGATCAGATATCTTCAGGGTAAGTGATTTCCTATTGTACTCATTTTTTAAATAAGGGTACTGTGTAATAAAGGTTTTTTGTAAATTGAAGATATGTGAAAATGCTTATTTTCTGAAGGTTTAGAGTTAACAATATTATGGAATGTTATGGTCTGTGTATTAAATGACCATATGAAGTCAGTACCTCAGTTGTTAGCATAATTTTTCTTAGACTCTTGTCAACTTTATAGTGAGTTTTTGACTATTTATGGACATATACCAAAAATTATAGTAGGCACTAATGATTAGTAAGACACATACATACATATTAGATTGTAATTGTTTGTTTAATTGTTAGACTGTAAGTTCTGACAACAAGGACCTCTTTGCTCTATATGCCACTGTATCCTCAGCTGCTAGATATAATGCTTGGTCCTCAGTGAATTGTCAAACACTAGCCTCTGGGTTCAATTTCCAGCACTGGAAAAGTAAAAGTCTGTGTTGAATGAATGAATCATGAATTATTAAATATTTAAATGCTCACAATGCTATAAACAAACTCTTTAAAAAATATACCAGAGAAAATGAGATGAACATAGTTAATAGGAATTAAAAGTATTATTTTTTTCTTAATATTGTAATAATATGATTTTATTTTACAATGAAAAAAAGGTGTTTTTTGTTTGTTTTGTTTTTGTGGTGATGGTGATTAAACTCTAGGGCACTCTATCACAGGACTGTATCTTTAGCCTTTTATTGTATTTTAGTTTGAGACAGCATCTTGCTAAATTGCCCAAGCTGACCTTGAATTTGCAATCCTCCTGCCTCAGCCTCACAAATAGCTGGGATTAGGGTGGAATGTACCACTGTGCCAGGTTGAAAGTAATTAGATATTTGAATACAGAACCATGTGGAAGAGCCTTAATATGAGGTAAGTTTTTAGTACTTAAATATAGTTCATTCATTGTTTTAAATTTTGTACTACAAAAGAGACTTAAAAAAAAAAAAGACTGCTTTTCCTACATAAAGTTAACAATTCTCATGCATTTATTTTTCCCAATCACAGGAATGAGTTTATGCTGAAGTACTCATAAGCTTTAGTTCAGTCTCCCTCTTGATAAAGGAACCTACAGTTGTATTTCAGCTAGCCCTGGTTAAGGGTTTGGTGTCAGCATGCCTGTGGAACATGAAACTTACTGAGTCACTGAGTATCAAATTGTGACCTTGGCAAGCTACTTCAGTTTTCTGAATGTATGCCTAGTAGTGGGGTTAAAGCCTAAGGGTAATTTTAGCCTGTAAATTTGTAATTTTAAGTTCTTACTGCTAGCCATGCTAGTGTCTGGAACACAATTCACTGTCAGTGTTGTCTTATGCAGGTTGCTATTGCGGGAGCCCCAGTCACTCTGTGGATCTTCTACGATACAGGATACACGGAACGTTATATGGGTCACCCTGACCAGAATGAACAGGGCTATTACTTAGGATCTGTGGCCATGCAAGCAGAAAAATTCCCCTCTGAGTAAGTTCAAGCCCTTATAAAGTTTTAAATTGTTTTTGAAAAACTTATCTTTAATGATAATGAAAATTTCAGATATTGAAAACTAAGACTAATATTTTATAGAGCACTAGAATGGCTTGACTATTGCTCAAAGCAAAATTAAAGACCAGTTCATATACTGTATTTTGGGTTTTGGGGTTTGATTTTTGTTTTGTTTTGGTTTGGTTTTTGTTTTATGGGGATTGAACTCAGGACCTCATGCATGCTAGGCGAGTAATATACCGCTGAGCTACACCCCACCCATGGTTTGGGTTTGTTGTTGTTGTTTTACAAGTTGTATTTTGAAGCAATTGTTTATATTGAAAGAAGTTAAGTACACAACTATTTCAAGATGGGAAAAATTTTGTGTCTATTTAGATATGTTTTATAAGCAGTTTTTCTAGCAACATGCTATAATTATTGATATGTTCTAATTAATAAGTTATAAACAAATAATTTTTTCAAGTGTTCTATTACATGTGGGATCTGGTTAATATATTACAAATTTAATATTGAAACTATCGAATCCTTATTCTAACATTGTAGTATAAAGAAGTTAATGTTGACTAAGTGTGATTAGTTCAAAGGAATTTAGTGGTTCCCCCTAAATACTCTTACTATTTTACCTAATATTTTTATTTCTCCAGACCAAATCGTTTACTACTCTTACATGGGTTCTTGGATGAGAATGTCCATTTTGCACACACCAGTATATTACTGAGTTTTTTAGTGAGAGCTGGAAAACCATATGATTTACAGGTGAGTTATTCTATATTTTCAAATTAAATTCAATAGTCATTAGCAATAGGTTACTTTGAAATCTAATAAAATATGGAGTAAGGCCAAATTTTCAGCTGTGTCCATCTAAAGTACAGGCATAGTTATTACTATGATTGGATAAAATTGATGCTATTGAAGTTGGGCTAAAAAGCCTATTGGATTGCATGACTTGTGTATCTGTGTCTGCTTTCAGTTTATCAGCATGGAAATGATGACTGGGAATCCATTTACTGCTCTCCTTTGCTTTACTTTTCCCTCTTTAAAGAGTGAGGAGTTGCTAATTGATTTTATATTGAAAAAGGATTTTTAGGCCCAGATTATATAGTATCTTAATTTATTATTACATTGTCATTAGTACAGAAATTAGCAAGTTATCCTCCTCCATTGCTCCCTTATTCAAAAATAGATTTTAAGAGAAAGTATTCTTCCTTTTTATTTCTTAAAAAAAAAATTATATGCTTAGCTGGGTGTGGTGGCACATGCTTATAATACTAGCCACTCAGGATGTAGAAGCAGGAGGATTGAAAGTTCTAGGCCAGCCTCAGTAACTTAGTGAGATTCTGTCTCAAAATAAAAAATGAAGGGCTGGGGATGTGGCTCAAGCGGTAGCGCACTCACCTGGCATGCGTGCAGCCCGGGTTCGATCCTCAGCACCACATACAAACAAAGATGTTGTGTCCACCGAAAACTAAAAAAAAATAAATATTAAAATTTAAAAAATGAAAATGGCTGGAGGGACTGAAGTTGGACTCAGTGGTAGAACGTTTGCCTCGAATGCGTGAGGCACTGGGTTTGATCCTCAGCACCACAAAATAAATAAATAAATAAAGATATTGTGTCCATCTACAACTATAAAAGAAATTCTTTTTTAAAAAAAAGTGACTTGAGATATAGCTCATTGGAGTGCCCTGGGTTCAATCCCTGTGTGTGTGTGTGGGGGGAGATTATGTGCTCATAAGAAATGAAAAAAACATTACTTTTTTCCTTTTTTATATTTCAGTTGACATTTCTGTCCAGTTAAACTATGATATATTCATCTATAGCAGTAGTTTTCAGGCTTTTTGGTCTCAGGATCTCTTTATATACCAAAAAACTTTGTTTATGTGGGTTTTATCTATCAGTGTTTCTTGCTGGGTGTGATGGCATATGCCTGTTGTCCCAGCTACTTAGGAGGCTGGGGCAGGAGGGTTGCTTGAGCACACAGATTTAAGAACAACTTAGGCAACATAGTTTCCAAAATTTGAATTTTCCTTAAAAGCTTAAATTGTGTCATTAGCAAACAAGTACTATTAGTGTGGTCCTCAAAGTGACCATATTACTTCATTTACTTTTGACAAATGTTTATCAAATACCAAAGTATGAATGATCATTGTTTTCAGTCATTCTCTGCCCAAAAAGAAGGGTGGGAGCAGGGAGTTCCACTAAAAAGCAGCAGTTCAACTTGCAACTTGGTTACATGGGTGCTTTCCTTTGAGACATCCTGTAGCACAAATGCTTTGTGTGTATTTCTCATTTCATCACTACAGAGTATTAAAAAGGCTTCTGTGGGGTTACAGTTTATAAAATTCAATTTTTTACTGCTATTTAAGTGAAATTGGCATTTTTTTCTTTCTTACTACAAGTGTGCAGTGGTGAACATTACTGTGACTTCTGGAACAATTCAATATTATTGCTTTGATTTCATGCTAAGGCACAATTGCTTTTGTATTATCAGTGCTACACAGTCAGTAAAGGCAAATAATGTTTTTTGTAGTTCTAAAAGTAGTTTTGATCTTATGTATCCTTTAAAAGGGTTTCAAAGACCCTTATAGTCTGCATACCACACTTGGGTAATGAACTGTTGGTTTACAGGAAAATCTTTCATTAAGCCTGATGGGTGTATAGGAATTACAAGACAGGGGCTTTTTTTTTTTTTTTTTTTTTTTTTTGGTAGTACAAGAGATTGAATTCATGGGTGCTCTACCACTCAGCTACATGCCCAGCCCTCTTATTTTTTATTTTGAGATAGAGTCTTGCTACATTGACTAGGTTGATCTAAGCTTGCAATACTCCTGCCTGATCTCTCAAGTAGTTGGATAATATTGTAGGCTACACCACCTTGCCTCATGAGGAAGGGGCCTTAAAATAGGATATATTTATTATGTTATGCTCTTTATTATTGATCCTGTTTAAAAAAAAAAACAGAGCTTTCAAGGAGATGTGTTATTAAATTTTGTTTTAATACTTTTACTTTTTGTTGTTAAGATCTATCCTCAGGAGAGACACAGCATAAGAGTTCCTGAATCTGGAGAACATTATGAACTACATCTTTTGCACTATCTTCAAGAAAACCTTGGATCACGTATTGCTGCTCTGAAAGTGATATAATTTTGACCTGTGTAGAATACTGATATACACTGGCTATTTAACCAAATGAGGTTTAATCAATAAGAGAACACAGAATTGATCATCATATTTTATACCTGCCACATAACATCTACTTCTCAAAGTAAATTTGGTGACATATAAGCATCTACAGCTTGTGGATAGTAATCTAATAACTGTACACACACAAAATTGAATGATTCATATGTCTAAGGGATCCAGCAATACCACAAGAAATACTGAAATAAGACAGTAGCACCACATATCCATACTACCCTATTTTCACTTTTAATAGCATTATAAACCTCATGGACTTAATTAGTGTATTTTTACAATATACTTCTGAGTTTATTAAAATATGATGACATTAGTGATCAGTTTGGTTCAATTCCAGAATCTCTGACTAGTTACGGATTTGATAGCACTTAAATGTAATTGAATAGCTATGCTTCATTGCTTGAGGTGTATCCAGCATGTTATGAACTAATCACTATTCAACCTATGACTTAACCAGTCATTAATGATTTTTTAAGATAACTTAGTGGCCTACTAAAGATACTTATTTTGGCTTCTGACCAGTTTTTAGCCAATTTAAACTGTATCTAGTATAAATGATTCTCTTTTTTCTTCAATGAGATGACAAAGTACGTTTTTCCTTTCACATAAAGGCAAAGAACTGTATATATAGCATGGATTTAATTAGTCTTATGATGTTGATAATTATAGACAGAAAATTTTAATCAGATGATTAGAGCTTAAATATTTGCAGGCAAGATTTTTTTTTCTCCTTCCTTTAGGAAAAGAAAAAAGTGCACATTCCCTTGCAGTCAGAAAATTTGGTGGTGCCAGTTTCCTTGTGATATTTCCCTATTAAAATGTTTCAGGGGGCTTGGGTTGTGGCTCAATGGCAGAGCACTTGCCTAGCACAAGTGAGGCACTGGGTTCAATCCTCAGCATCACTTACAAAAAATAAGCAAATAAAATAAAGGCATGCTATCCATCTACAATTAAAAAAAAATATGTTCCAGAATTTAGGGAGGTGGAAGGAATCACGTGGTGTAGGGAAAGCCAGGGAGTGGAGAATGACAGGGAGAGGAGGTGGTAAGGGTCTACTTAAGAACTAAGCACAAGTAGGTTAAACAGAAATACTCATGAAAAAATTGGAAAGTGAAATTTGAACTACTAGAATATTAGGAAACCAGAATTAAGAAATCACTCTGTTGTCAACAGAGCTTCAGACTAACATCATTCAGGGGAGGAAAACTTCCTTAGAGTTATTTTTATATTCCAGGGTTTTTTGTTGTTTTGTTATTTTTCCTCTTAATTTTAGAATTCTTTCAGATTTAAACTTTACCTTTAAATTATTGAACATAATTTAGGTATTGTGAGCTTAAAATAAAAAGGTTTCCAAACAACCCCTTTACCATAAACAAACTCCTGGCAAGCCATAGCTTTTTGTTTCAGAGTTTAAAGCCTATGAATAGTTTTTTTTTTTTTTTTTGAAAGGCCATGACATTTTGTGGGTTTAGCCTTCACACTTGACTGAAGGGAGCTCATAGACTTTTAAGTACTGGTTGAGATCTGTCCTCATAAGGTTTTCGGGTACTGTGGGACCCATTGAAACCAGAGACAGGAAGGGCATCTATGAGTTTGACCCTTTTTATTACAAGCTTCAGTATTTAAAAAGTTATTACTAGTACTTTTAAATCACTCCAAGAAAAATTTCTCTATTTCTTTTTCACCACTACAGATAGTATACATTAATTCTACAGGGGGTACATAGTATACATTAATTCTACAGGGGGTACAGCCTGCCTTAGTGAGGACCTTGGCTGTGCACCAAAGGTGGACTTGATTGAGGGCCAGGTGAGAGGCAGAGGAGACGCTGAAATGGCAGGGTGACCTGGTGGTTCTGACCTTGGAGAAGGGGGATTGGGTTTTGCTGGTTGTGTATTTATTCTGTATAATAGATTTCATACTTTTCTTTATTATCTGTGTCTGTATTGATTTTCATGTTTATAATGTTTTCTCATGCCAATATTTGTTAATATTTTTTCAGTGTTAAATTAAATTGATTTGGGTAACTTTTCTTCCCCAAGAAAGTATTTTCCCTCATGACTTAAGTATATATCTGACTGTTGGAAGATGGTATTTTTTGGAGTGGTTGACCTCTGAGGGTCTATCCTTATATGCAAAGTAGAAATGGCATAAAATAGCTTTTTAGAAAGCTACTCATTTGAAACCTCTTTCCCATTGAGGTTGTTTCTTCAATATAGCATCTCTTATTTTACCAAAACAAACAAACCTTATAAAACCTCATATGTTCTTGAATTCACAGGTGTTTTCCTTTTCCATTTTGCCTTTTTTCCTCCTATCACCAGGAATGTTCCTTTTATAGCTCCCAGTTACTTAAATGCCATTCTACTTCTCTAGGGGGAGAAAATACCTGGCTGAATTTGTTTTTACAACCTGTATAGAAAACATAGTAAATTTCTCTGTACCCTGACTATGGGTAACAATAGTTATAGAAAGTAACAAAAAAAGTAGTTTTGTAAGAGCTTAAAAGCATCAGGTTAAACACCAACCTAGGTTTTTGTAGGCTTGATAAATGAATAGCAATCACCCAATGCAGTTGCTTAAACTTTGTAGAACATTATAACCCAAAATCGAAGATTCATGTGGGGTGCTTACTGAAAGAAATGCAGTCTTGAGCCTTACTCCTAAGAAATTTGTATTCCATTGATTTGGGTAGAGATCAGGAATGTGCATTTCTAGCAAGCTTTCTAGGTGATGCCAAATCAAATCACTCTGGACTATTTTAAGAAATGTGTTGGGGGGCTGAGGATATAGCTCAGTAGCAGAGCTCTTGCTTAACTTGTTCAAGACCCTGGGTTTGATCCCTACAGCTGGAAGAAAAAGAAACTCTCTAGAGAATGGGATTGGATTAAGAAAATTATAGGGAATTTTTATATTGGACTGACTCATAAGAACTTAAAACAATAGTCAGGAAAGCTGCTGATGTGTGTTAACTGTTGGTTCCTTTTCATTCTGAAAGTAGCAGAAGAAATTAACTTCGTATCCCTTTTGTCTAGAGATTCATTTTGGAATGAAGGTTTTTCCCTCAATGCCATTCATTCCTGGCTCTTTTTCAAAGGCTCACACAAGAATATAACATCACAATACATGCATTACCTTTTAAAATAATGAAATATAGATAATGATGCTTGCTCTTTTTTTTTCCTACTTGTTTTATTCCTTACAGAAGGTGTATCCCACCTTTCTATAACACGATTCTCTCTAGGTGGAATGATTCCAGTAAGATTTCATTATTATAGAATCATAAGTTTTCAAGCTGGAGTAAATCTTGGATTAATTTACTATTCTCATTCGTTAGAGGAGGAACCTACATACTACAGAGAGGAAGTCACACAGACAGTTAGTATTTGGTTGGTACTAAATTCCATCTAGATATCCTGCCTCGTGGTAGTTAAATGATATATAGAAAAGGCAGATTTTTAAAGATGTATTTATTAATATGTTCCTATAAAACATTTTAAAAGTAAACCACATAAAATGGTTAAATTTTCCATCCTAAAGTAAATGCTAAGCATGCTTATTAATGAAGCAATACTTCTAATTAGTATTTGAGATTCTGAAGTTAATTAAACTTATTACACTAAATATGTTTTCCTTGGTGTAGTAGGGGGTTTGGTGATTGGGATATAGAGTAGACCCCTTGCTTAAGCCCAAAAGCCCATCTTATAGCAATTTGATAAAAAGAGACATGGCTGTAAATTAAGATATGTAATGTGAGTGTCCTTTCCCTGCAGATAATGAAGGAATAAGGAAATTTCCCTTACCCCAGCCTTCCCAACCCTACCTATACACTTTCCAGCCAAAAATATTGACTCAGATGTCTTAGTACAAGGTGCTGGGATCTAGGAAATTGTTTTAAAAGTCCCTCACAGAGAAAAAGTCATATTTGTATGTATTTATGTTTTTACATAACCCAAATACAAATTTATGTTATATTCAGCAACATTGGAGTTCAGTTCTTCATAGAGTATAAAGTGCCTGCTGTTTTAAGCATTGACTTGTATGAAATGAATTGCATGTCTCATTCCAGTAAGTTTATGGGTTTTTTCATTTTCAGCTACATGGCTTTCAATCATGTAAAGTGAAATATTAGTTTTGTTGCATTTTATTACAGGTTCTTGGTTGCAATAAAGATGCTGCTGAAATTAATTGATTTAAATGTTCCTTCCCCACCCACTTCCCCCATTTGTACAGCCTTGCTTTGATTCATTACAGCTGTGGAGTGAATGTGCATGAAGGAGGTCAGGTGCACACAGTGGGGAAAGGATTACATGGGAGTTTAGTGTAAACACTAGCCAGAGTGCATCCCAGCCCAGTGGGTGTGTACACAGAACCACTCATGGTTCTAACAGCCAGCAGCTGATGCTGCCAGGGTAGGTGATATTTGGAACCAGTGACTACTAGTCCCCCTGAGCAGTTGGGATTTCTTAGGAATGCCACTTGGGGTGGGTAGTGATTTGTATACACTCTCAAGGAAATTTTGAGGGAGTTCAGAATATTCTTTTTTCAGAGATGTATCTGACAATTCTCTGGTTTTTTGGAGCTGAATTAGAAAAAGGGCAGGGAGCATATGTACTCCTCTAAAATAAGTAAATATGGATTTGTCTGATAATCTTTCCAGAACAATCTGAATTCTATAACTTTCTGAAGTTGTATGTAAAATATTTCATGAACAAATGGTGGTATATTATTCTGGAGAGATCTTTGGTTAAAGACAATCTTTGAGATAATGCTACAGGAGGCTGGGGTTGGGGCTCAGTGGCAGAGTGCTCGCCTAGCACATGCAAGGCCCTGGGTTCGATCCTCAGCACCACATAAAAATAAATAGATATTGTGTCCAACTAAAAAATAAATATAAAAAAAAAGATAATGCTACAGATGAGTGTTTCCCAACCTTTTCACCTCGTGACACATATACAAAATATATATATATATTTGCACGACACTCTAGAATAAACTGAGGCATGCTAGGGTAACCTGTTGAGGCTTCTTCAGCCTGAAGTTACTGGCCAGGCCCACCCCATCTCTAAAGAGATTAGTATCAGCACATATATAATCCATGTGTGGCACAATGGTTAAGAAATTTTTATAGATTACTGTGGTATCTTTAAATCAGCCTGGATTTATTGCTAATCAGAAATCAACTTTCAGCCTAGCCATATGCATCCACAGACTGTGATGGAGGATGTAGACTCTCAGTCCCTGTAGGGCTCCAGTGCTCACTTGTTCACTTATCAGAACAAGTGTGGCCTTATAGCCTCTTGACCTTCTTTTGGCCTAACCTCACCCACTCATGGATATGGAGCAGCAGTGACTGATTCCTTGGTGCTTTTGAGGGAAGCAGAATTAAAACAGCTGCCATATGAAAATCTCAAAACCAGAGTATAGTTTTAGTTTGGTAAATTCCAGGATTTAAATATTCATCAGCCTGGCTATCCACATATCTGTTGTCCTGGCCCTGCCATTCTGGAAGGAGTTCCCATTGAAATGAATTAGTTGTTTCAGCTCTGACATAGGCACCAAGATCAAGTTTGCTGTGTGCTCCTTCCTGAGAGATAACTCTCTAAAATATTTACCAGACTCAAGTCTCATTTTTTTGTGTGGGGGGGGTGGGACCTGGGTTGGGAATCAAACCAAAAGCCTCACATGTATCAGGCAAGTGTTTTACCACTGAGCCCAGACTTGAGTTCTTTTTATTTTTTTTTAATATATATTATATCATATATATTATTATTTTTTTTAAGTATTTTTCGGCGGACACAACATCTTTTTGTTTGTATATGGTGCTGAGGATTGAACTTGGGCCGCGCACATGCCAGGCAAGCGCGCTACCGCTTGAGCCACATCCCCAGCCCCAGACTTGAGTTCTTGAAATGCAAGTTTAGGAAAACAATTAGCCAGGATAGTAGTCCCTACTTATCTCTAGGAATCCCACCACTACCACCACTACCATCCTCATTGGAAAGACACCCTGCAGAAGTGGCCTAGTTATTTTAGAATTCTCTTCACAGGTACAGTTCTTTGTAGGAATGTCCTCTGGCCAAGATCTGGAAACCACATAGCTCTTACATAAAATGAACTGTCCGTGTTGGCTTGATTAATGAGCATGTGTATAGTTGGAGCGGCATTCTTAAGTGCATATGAATAATAACAGTCTGCACTTGACTACTTAATGATGTGTTGCCTTGTTAATTGTTTGAGCTGTCCATTCCTCTTCCTTTGTATTGCTATTGCTGTCCTCTCTGTCTCATGCTAGATCACTGCAGCAATTCTTTACCTAACCTGATTGGGAATGAAGAGCAGAATTCCAGGTAACTTTAAAGAAACACTTGACAACTTTGATTCAGCAAGTGTTTAGCAACAGTCATGTGTCAGTTCTGTATTGGGCCATGAGAAAACAAAACTGAAGAAGACATGGTCTTTTGCTCTCAATGAACTCTCAGCACCAACTTCACCTCCTACCCCACTAGCACACCCTATAGGACACTGCCACTTCCTTAAAGACAAGCTAGTTCATTCTTTTTTGGTGCCAGGAATGGAACCCTGGGGCACTCAACCATGGAGGCACATCCCCAGCCCTTTTTGTATTTTATTTAGAGACAGGGTCTCACTAAGTTGCTTAGAGCCTTGCTAAATTACTGAGGCTGGCTTTGAACTTGTGATCCTCCTGCTTCAGCCTCATGAGCTGCTGAGATTATAGGCATGCACCACCATACCCAACTAAGGCAAGCTAGTGCTTAACTCCTCGTGGTGCTCCTGTCCATAATACAATCCAAGTTCTACCTGACATACAAGACCCTGTGTCAGCCAGGCAGGGCACATTCATCTGTAGTCCCAGCTACTCAGGAGGCTGAGGCCAGAGAATCCCTTGAGCCCAGGGATTTAGGGCTGTCTGAGCCATCTTCATTTGCCTTTACCTCTACGTGTGCCTAGGCTTTTCGATCACCTCCATGCATGTGGATTTCCTTTCATTTATATAACACACATTTTTAGTCAATCAGATTCCTCTTTCAACTTCTGCAGTGCTTGTATGGGAATCATGCCTGAGGAGTGACTTGGGGGCTAACCTCACCCTGGCCTCTACAACTTGCTAGTTTTATGGGCTTGCATATGTTTACATCATACTTTGACCCTCAGTGTTCTTAGATGTGAGATGAGAATACTAATAGAACCAACCTTCCTTAATAGATTGTGGTGCAGATTAGATGACTAATACACAGAAAGCACTTGGTTCCTGGCACACAATAAAAGAACTCAAAAGATTATCTCAGATTTAGCATTTAATTTTATACCATATTGTTTGCTACTGGTTTTGTTTGTCCAGTTAGATTTCAGACTCAGTGTAGGCACTTTTAGTCTTGTTTCATTCTCACCAAAAAATACAGAGTCAGGTATTTAATAACCACTTAGATACTTAAATACCAAAAAATTTCCAAATAAGAAATATTTGACCTCCATTTAGAGTTTTCTAAATGATCAATTATAAATTCCTAAGCACATCTACCAAGTTGCTTGTAAGAATGCGAAAGAAATTATTCAAGTTTTTTTTATTGGCATTGATGATAAAATTATTAACTGATGTATAATATTTGTACTCAATGAAAATGGTGTACTACTTTCTCTAGGATTTTCTCCCTCCCCACCCTTCAATCTAGCTGTTGCTATAAATTGCACACTTCATCCCAATTACAACATGAGAAAGTTTACTGTAACTCAGCAAATGGAGAAAGTCTTTTATCTACTGTCCAATATTGGTTTCAGTGAAGAATAAAATGAGCCAACCAGCTTCACAAGACTCCTTTAAAGTTTTTTTTTTTTTTTTCTTTTTTCCTGTTCTACCACTGAGATGCTTCCCTGGTCCTTTGCATTTTATTTTGAGACAGGATCTCACTAAGTTGCCTAGACTGGCCTGGAACTGGGAATCCTCCTACCTCAGCCTCCCAAGTAGCTGCAGTTACAAACATGTGTGCTAGACCCACCTATTAATTGTACATATTAATGGAGCTCAGTGTGTTATTTCAAAACATGCATACATCATGCACTGATATCGTCCAGCCTTCATTGATTTCCTTCTCCCCTTCATAGTCTCTAGTAATCTCTAATCTCCATTCAGGTCAACTTCTCTTCTCCCTATCTCTTCCACATATGAGAGAGAACATGCATTTGTCCTTCTGGGTCTGGCTTATTTCAATTAATAATGAACTCTGGTCCCATCCATTTTGCTGCAAATGATATTTCTGAATAATATTCCATTGTATATGTGTGTGTATGTATACACACACAGGGTGAGGTATGTGTATATATATATATATATATATATATACACACACACACACACACACATTTAAGGATAGAAATACATAAATTAACGAAAACCCATAGATATTATATATAATGTATATATATATATAATGTATATGTATATTATATATACATATATATTAATTTCCATAGGCACAACTAGATTTCACATGTAATATAAAATTAACACCTTAGGGCTGGGATTCTGGCTCAGCAGTAGAGTGGCTCGCCTAGCACATGAGAGGCCCTGGATTTGATCCTCAGCACCACATAAAAATAAAGATTTGTATCCAGGTACAACTAAAAAATAAATATTTAAAAATAAATAAAATTAACACCTTAAATAATCCACAGATAAAACTATATATACATACACTATATATACATACATACACACACACACATATCTCGTTTTCTTTATCCATTCATCTGTTGGTGGGCACCTAGGCTGATTTCATAATTATTGTGAATAGTACAGCAATAAACATAGGTATACACTTATTTGGTATAGTAATCTTACTTCCTTTGGATATATATCCAGAAGTGGAATAGCTGGATCATATAGTGGTATATTTTTAGTTTCTTAAGGAACCTCCAACTGTTCTCCATAATTGTTACACTAATTTACATTCCCATGATACTTCTTTTTTCTCCACATCCTTGCCATCAGTACTTTTTTAATAATAGCAATTCTAACAAGTGACATTTTATTGTAATTTTGATTTGCATTTCCCTAATAACTGATATTGAGCATTTTTTTTCCATGTATTCGTTGGTTTTTTGTTTGTTGGTTGGTTGGTTGGTTCTGAGATTAAATTTGGGAGTACTCTACCATTGAGCTACATTTC